GCATTTTAAACTTAACAGAAACAACTTTATCTTACCACAAGCTTATCTTCCACCTCAGAATTCTCTCTCTTTACTCTTCCCCATTTCAGTAAACAGCATCACCAACATACAGTTGTTCAAGGCAGAACCTAGAGATAATTCTTGATACCTCCTTCTCTTTTATCCCCCACCAATGTCTAAAACATAATCAAGCCTTACTTGCCCTTCTCCCTCCTTCCCCTTCCTCCTCTTCTCCCCACCTTCTAGTCCCCCTCCCCCTCTTTCTTCTTCAAGAGCACCCTTCAACATTTCATAATCCTGGTTTGGTGGTGATGAACTCCTTTAGCTTTTTCTTGTCTGTGAAGCTCTTTTTCTGACCTTCAATTCTAAATGATAGCTTTGCAGGCTAATCTTGGTTGTAGGCCCTTGCTATTCATCCTTTTGAATATTTCTTACTACTCCCTTCTGGCCTGCATAGTTTCTGTTGAGAAATCAGGTGGCAATCTTATGGGTACTCTCTTGTAGGTAACTGACTGTTTTTCTCTTGCTGCTTTTAAGATTCTCTGTCTTTTGCCCTTGGCATTTTAATTATGATGTGTCCTGGTGTGGTCCTGTTTGGCTTTATCTTGTTTGGGGTTCTCTGCGCTTCCTGGACTTATAAGTCAATTTCTTTCACCAGGTAGGGAAAGTTTTCTGTCATTATTTCTTCAAATAGATTTTCACTATCTTGCTCTCTCTCTTCTACTTCTGGCACCCCCATGATACGAATGTTGGTACACTTTAAGTTGTCCCAGAGGCTCTTTACACTATCTTCATATTTTTGGGTTCTTTTTTCTTTTTGTTCTTCTGATTGGGTGTTTTTGCTTTCTCATATTTCAAATTGCTGATTTGATTCTCTCGCATCCTGTACTCCACTGTTTATTCCCTGTAAAATATTCTTTATTTCAGTTAGTGTATCCTTTATTTCTGACTGGTTCTTTTTTTTTTTTTTTAATATATTTTATTGATTTTTTTACAGAGAGGAAGGGAGAGGGATAGAGAGTTAGAAACATCGATGAGAGAGAAACATCGATCAGCTGCCTCCTGCACACCCCCTACTTGGGATGTGCCCGCAACCAAGGTACATGCCCTTGACTGGAATCAAACCTGGGACCCTTCAGTCCGCAGGCCAACGCTCTATCCACTGAGCCAAACCGGTCAGGGCCTGACTGGTTCTTTTTCATGTCTTTGATATTCTCAGTAAGATCCTTGAACATCCGTATAACCATTGTTTTGAACTCTGTATCTAATAGTTTGCTTGCTTTCATTTCATTTAGTTCTTTTTTTGGAGATTTATCCTGTTCTTTCATTTGTAACATGTTTCTTTGTCTCCGCATTTTGGCTGCTTCCCTGTGTTTGTTTCTATGTATTAGGTAGAGCTGCCATGTCTCCTGGAATTGGCTGTATGTAGTAGGTGTCCTGTAGGGCCCAGTGGCTTAGCCTCCCCAGTCACCTGAGCTGGGCACTTTAAGTGTGCCCTGTGTGGGCTGTGTGCACTGTCTTGTTGTAGTTGAGCCTTGTTTGCTGTTGGTGTCACTGGGAGGAATTGACCCCCAGGCCAGTTGGCTGTGAGTGCCAGCTGCAACTACAACGGAAGAGCTGCTATGCAGGAGACACCCCTGTGGAGCAGGACTTGCGTCAATGGGGCTTTGGTGCTCACTGAGTCTGCCCCTTGAGTGTGTCACTCATGGATGTGTAAGTTGTAATCTGGCATGGGCTAAAGCCCAGGTGCACTGGCTCTGGGCCCTCCTATGAGGTGCAAAGTCAGCCACTACCTGTGCCCTGCCTGGGGCCACTTTGTGATATAAGCTTCCCATAATACTTAGCTGCAATATTCCTTTTTAGTTATGCTTCCTTTGCAGTCTTTTCTCTTTTTCTCATTGCTATATTTGAGTTTCAGGCAGACATTTCTTGGAAGTCAAACATTAAACACCATAAGACAAAATGAGATAGATCTGTAAAAACTGATACATAAAGCTATCTATGAGTAGTATGTTAGGTAACTTTCTGTTGCTACTGTAACAAATTGCCACACACTTAGAGGCTTGAAATAACACAGTTATTATCTTACATCTCTTTAGGTTAAAGTTCGGCAAGTCTCTCAGGGCTGAAATCCAGGTGTCAGCAGGGCTGCATTCTTTTCTGGAGGCTCTTGGACAATGGTTCTCAACCTTCCTAATGCCGCGACCCTTTAATATAGTTCCTCATGTTGTGGTGACCCCCAACCATAAAATTATTTTTGTTGCTACTTCATAACTGTAATTTTGCTACTGTTATGAATCGTAATGTAAATATCTGATATGCAGGATGTATTTTCATTGTTACAAATTGAACATCATTAAAGCATAGTGATAAATCACAAAAACAATATGTAATTATATATGTGTTTTCCGATGGTCTTAGGCGACCCTTGTGAAAGGGTCGTTCGACCCCCAAAGGGGTCACGACCCACAGGTTGAGAACCGCTGCTCTAGGAGATGACCTCCTTCCTTGCCTTTTAGCTTCTAGAGGCCACTCACGTTACCTAATGTATCCCCCTCTCCCTGCCCAATCTTGAAAACCAGCTATGTAGCATCTCTCTCACCCTGCTTCCACCATCACGTCTTTCTCTCTCCTTCTCCCTCCCTCTTCCACTTTTAAGGACTCTTGTAATTACATCGGGTCTGCCTGGATACCGGATAGGCTCCCTATCTTAAAGTCAGCTGACTAGCAACCTTGATTTCATTTTGCCAAGTAGCCTAACATATTCACAAGTTGTGGTTATAGGACAAGGGCATCTTTGGGACCATTATTGTGCCTACCATGTATAGTCAGGAATGAAAGAAAGTTGTAAAACAGTTTGTAGTGTTGTAATTCCCTTTGGATTTGAAAAAATGAGTGGTGGTGAGAAACCATATGGTATAAGGTGAAATCCCCTTTTAAAAAACCCTATTTAAAAATAGAGCACTAAAAGAGAAGATTGAGTGTTTTATTACTTTATCAAAAGATTTTCAACATTCTGAATGTCAGGCAGTAGGACAAAATTCAATTTACATACAGTTAATTAGTTGTAAAGTGTGCTCCTGTACTTCCACAACCTCCCAGCGGTTTCTGCTGGGTATGGTTTAACTTTAATCAAGGGAACATTACCTCTCTTTTTTTTATGTATCTTTATTGTTGAAAGTATTGCATATGTCCCCCTTTTCTTCTCATTGACCTCTTTTAACCTGCCTCCACCCCCCACCCCAGGCCTTCACCACCCTATTTTCTGTGTCCATGGGTTATTATGCATATATGCATACAAGGTCTTTGATTGATTACCTCCCACCCTTCCCTGACTTCCCTCTGAGATTCCGCACTCTGTTCCATGTTTCCATGTCTCTGGATCCACTCCGCTCATCAGTTTATTTTGTTACTTAGATTCCATATATGAGTGAGATCATGTGATACTTGTCTTTCTCTGACTTATTTCATCAGCATGATACCCTCCAGCCTGGACCTTTCTAAGCCCCAATTCCTGTCTGTAAAATGGAAATGATAAAATGGCCCTGACCTTGACAGCTATCATGAAGATCATGTGATTTACTGCACATCAACATGCACAGGGCTGGGCACAAAAAACGTGCTTGCTAAATGTCAGCTGCTATTATTCACCCCCCACAAAGAATCGCCCTTTATAGATGAGGACGCTGAGTCTAGAGAGGGGCAGAGCTAGGAGGAAGGCCAGGTGCCTGCTCCCAGCCTGCGGTTCCTATCTGCTGAGAGAAGACTCGGGTCAGGCTCTGCCGGGCCTAGAATGCGGCCGGCACAGACCAGGAGCCTGGAGGGGACGGAGGGCGGTGTGGGCCTGAGACCACCCCTCACCCTGCCCACCTCTGCCCACAGTTCCTGTCGGACGGCTACGTGGCCCACCTGGGCCAACTGGAGGCCGGCTCCCACCCGCACGCCCCCACGGGACCCTCGAGGGCCACCCTGGCCAAGAGCAGCTACGGCGGGGCCGCCCCTGTGGACTTCCTCCGCAAACAGAGCCAGCTGCTCCGCTCCAGGGGTCCCAGCCAGGCGGAGCGCGAGGGCCCAGGGACACCACCCACCACCCTGACCCGGGGCAAGGGCCGAAGCATCAGCCTCAAGTTGGACTGCGGTGAGGCCTAAACTGTGGCTGGACCTGGGTTATTTATTCACACATTCAGGGGCCCAACTGACCAGGTGTGGGAGGCTGGGGGCGCAGACCGCTGGCCCTGGCCTCCCAACTCCACAGCCCGCATCTCTGCCTGCCCCACAGTGTTACTTCCCTTTTGTGTGGGAGGACCCAGACCACGGGCCGAGGGAGGGAGGGAGCGGCAAGACCCAGAGGCTTTTCAGTGTGTAAACCCATGACAATAAACACCACCTACATCCCACCCGATGGCCCACTTGCCTGGTCTCAGGGTAGCCAAGCCCACAATTTCCAGTTCGATGGGGACACTGCTTGGCAGAGGGGGCCAGGATGAATCCAGAATCATACAGCAGGTCAGAGACAGGGCCCTTCCTGGACCCCGAAGGCCTCATGGAAGGCTCTGTCTCCACCTCTACCCAAGCAAGGCCTTTTCTAGAGTCAGCCCACCTGGCCCTCCCCACCTAGGCCAGCCCTTCGGTTCATAGGGCCACCCTCAGTCCAGACTTGGCTTCTCACTGAAACCTCTGCCTCCAGAAGCTGCGACCAGGGGACCATTGGCTCAGAGGTCGGAGGGGCAGGGAGACCATCTCACTCAAGCACAAACCGTCTCCCCCTTAAGACTGAAGGCGCCGGGCACCCCAGCTCTGGCAGCAAGAAATGCTTCCTTTGTGGCAGATCTAAGATCATCCTCTTTTCTGTCAGGGACACTGAGGCCCAGAGAGATCTGAGCTGGTGAATCGGGTGCTGGGATGAGAACCCTGATTCTTTGTCCCCCAATACCATCCAAGTACCAGAAAACGTGGGGCGATGGCTCCCACCTCTCCCAGTGAGTGAGCGCGGCCCAGAGGGAGATAAATAAGGCTTTTATGTACAGAGAAGCATGATATCGTGGGGCAGGTGGGCTGGCAGTGGCAACAGTGAGCTGGGCAGGGCGAGCAGGGCCCTGTCAGTGGGAGAAGATACCCCGGAAGCGGGCCTTGTCCTCTTCGTCCTTCTGCCGGATCCGTGCCTCCAGGGCCCGAAGCTCCTTGCTCACAATGGGTGCCAGGGCGGGGTCCAGCTCCAGCACCTTGGCAAAGTCAGCCTGGGCCTCCTGGGCATTCCACAAGGCGGCGTGCACCTTGCCCCACTTGAAGTAGGCCTTAACGTTGTCATCATACTTGTTGAGGATGAAGGAGCAGTGGTCCAGCACTTCATAGTACTCTTGGGCCACCAGCTTGCACTGACAGTAGTTGAGCAGCAGCGGTGTGATCTGCTGATCCAGCTTGATCCAGTCAGGGGACCCAGGCTGTTCCTTCATCTGCAGGTTCTTGAGGCAGGCGATGGCGTCGTAGTACTTGGCAGCGGCCTCCTTCACGTGACCCTCACGGTACAAGCGGTTGCCCTCCTGGTGGATGACCGGCACCGCCTTTGCCTTCTCCTCATCCGTCATAGGGGTGTGGGGGGTGCGGGAAGAGACTGGACAAAAATCGTGCACCTATGGATGAGGACAGTCGGGGGGGAGGGGTAAGGACAGAGGGTGGGGTGGGAACCGGGGGGAGGGGAGCTATGGGGGGAAAAAAGGAACAACTGTAATAATCTGAACAATAAAGATTTAATTTAAAAAACTGTCACGTAATGATCATATTTATCAAATTAATAGCATTTATTAAAATTATTCAGATATATCTTTTGTTCACATAGTACCCTTCATCCAAATTTGAATGATTCAAACTCTTTCTAAAATAAGCATTAGGTAGAGGGTAATTTCCTCCAGATATACAGATGGGAAACCATAAGAATTCACAGGCAACCTGGTATAAACAGATGGCTCTTACATCATTCCTGCTGGTAGGGGCTGTTTTAGAGCACAGTGACCAGGTTACATCTTTCTGTAGAAAAATCATAAATTTGGTCCCAGTATTTTTATGGTTCACACAAATAAAACCTCATTGCCTTTATTTTCATGAGTTTTGGTGTCCTTAAAAATGTGAATTTTTAGTTGAAACGCATTGAGTATTACTGTCTGCCTGTTTATATTTCTATTTCTTAAACATTAAGTTTCTGAACTGATGGGTCATGATATTTGTACCATAATTTTCATATAGCTCTTTTCTACTCAGTGGTTGATTTTAAAACATATTTTACTCTTCTCTTTGGATTATGGTTTTGAATTGAGGTTGATTTTAGGAAAACACTGCTAGTTCCAATAAATGAAAAACTTTCTATTTTAATAATGTAATTTTTGTGTGCATTACTGCAAAATGTAAATTAAAACTACTTGATACATTACTGAAGAGATTTTAGGAATTCTTACTTAATTGGTACTTAAATGTTCGTTTGTTCCAGAGACATTTAAAAAGTAACCTTAATGTTTATGAAATGAACTTAACCCATTGAGTTTTCAGATTGAACTACTTTCTTTACAATAAAACTCAAACCAAATAAGTCTGTTGCCTTGACAAAGTACAGCCTAGTTGTAGCTAGTCTTTCTTTGACATTACATTTTACAGTCAACAGGCATTTTATATGGGCAGGCTCAGTCTATAGTCCTCTTTGGCAGGCAAGATGTGAAATAGTTCAAATAGTTTCACTGCATATTTATTGCCGAGTGAATGTGCACTTGTTAGAGGGCTGCTTTTTAATCTGTGGGATAAAATTGCAAAGCATTCTTTCACTGCTCTTTTTGCTTACCTGTGCTCTCACATTTAGGTCTTTAGAATCTTTTGCAAAGAGGAAACGATTTGGTGATGGAGTGCTCCCACTGACCGATGGACTCAAAGAAGAGAAGGTAAAAAACCATTTCTTCTTTCTCCTCTATCCTTGTAGAATACCACAGAAAGCATGTCCACATATGTGTAGCTTCTTTTCACTTTAATTTCCTTGTTGATAGTTATTAAGTAGGAATAGTGAGTGACATTTGTGTTGATTGGTAGAGAAAGATATTGAAATAAAGCTGATTAGTGATAAGCTTTGTTGCTAGGTCCTTTAAATTTGGTTCTTATATTTTTTAATAGCAATTCTAGAACTTAAATGCAGTGTGAAGTGAAATATGGATCCCTATTCCTTCTATCTTCCTCATCAAATACTTTGTTACCACATTAAAAACAAAAATTTAAAAGAAAACTCCAACTTGGGGCATGTTATAACTTTAATACCTAAACAAGGAATTAATGTATCGAGAAGTTAAGATCTTGACATTTTATGCTACGAAATCATAAACCTTCAAAAAATAACCCAGGTTTTGTTTGCTTCTTAGATAGAGATAAAGTAATTTGTGGGTTTAGATTATTTTCCACACCTTTTATATAATTAGTTTTATCTCCACTCTTGTGCTAAAGCATAACATAGGTGCTAGTTAAATTATCTGACCCAGTCTCCTATGTGCTGGTAAAAGGTGCCAATCCCATGACATACTAGTAAGATACAGCTCTGAGTTGCAGGAACATTTAAGTGATTTTTCTTCATGTGTGTAGCTCAACAAAGGCAGAAGGATCCAAAGAAAGAGGCCTGGTCCATGTCTGGCAGGCGGGATCCTGCTCTGTAACCCCAGAGAGATTGCCCGGCTGGGGAGAAAGGACTGTTCTTCAGGCGGCCCTGGGAGTGAAGCATGGAGTTCTTCTGACGGAAGGTATTGGAAAGAATGGCTTAGCCAATAGGAACTGAGAGTCTAGCCAATGTCTGAGTGTGGAAGAGCAGGAAGAGAGTTACTGGATGCCAGGTGTTTTTAATGAACTTTGCTGAAGCTTATATTCTTTTTGTTTTCAAAATATGTTTTTATTTCCTTTATCAGAAATTGGATTAATTCTTAAATTTAAGATATATACTTTATCAGAAATCAGATTAATTCTTATATATCTTTTTAAAATATATTTTTATTGATTTCAGAGAGGAAGGGAGAGGGAGAGAGAGATAGAAACATCAATGATGAGAGAATCATAGATCAGCTGCCGCCTGCATGCCCCACACTGGGGGATCGAGCCCACAACCCATGCATGTGCCCTGATCAGGAGTTGAACCATGACCTCCTGGTTCATGGGTTGATGCTCAACCACTGAGCCATATTGGCAGGGCTAGCTAGTTCTTATATTTAAGATATACCATAACTAGAATAAAAGGGAGAATGATAGTTTTTCTTTCATTAATCTGTCTTTTATTACAGGGATGTTTCAGCCTAGAACCCAGAAGGATAGAGGGAAAATTATTTTTCCTCCCCTATGGAACAGTAGACTTTACTCTTTGCCCTATAGTTTAGATGTATAGTAAGCATACACCACCTAGGTTTGTATAAGTACACTCTATGACAGTGATGGCGAACCTATGACATGCGTGTCAGAGGTGACACGCAAACTCATTTTTTTGGTTGATTTTTCTTTGTTAAATGGCATTTAAATATATAAAATAAATATCAAAAATATAAATCTTTGTTTTACTATGGTTGCAAATATCAAAAAATTTCTATATGTGACATGGCACCAGAGTAAGTTAGGGTTTTTCAAAATGCTGACACGCCGAGCTCAAAAGGTTCGCTATCACTGCTCTATGATGTCCACACAGTGACTAAATCACTAACCAACACATTTATCAGAATGTATTCCTGTTGTTAAGCAGCACACACTGTATATTATTTATATACTAGAGGTCCGGTGCATGAAAATTTGTGCACTGGAGGCGGGGGGCAGTCCCTCAGCCCAGCCTGTGCCCTCTCATGGTCCAGGAGCCCTCAGGGGATGTCTGACTGACCGGAGGCGACTGGGCAAGCTGATCAGGGGACGGAGCCAGCTGGCAAGTGGCCGGCCCTGGCCCTCCTGCCCCCAGTCGCCCCTCCGCTGCCGCTGGTCACTGCTGCCCTCTGATCACCGTCCACTCCCTCTGCCCACTGGCTTGCGCCTTGGCTGGCCTGGCGCCGCCTGCTCACCAGCCCTGCCCCCTGCCAACGGGTTGTTCTACTGTTCGGTCGATTTGCATATTATGCTTTTATTATATAGGATAACATTTAAAAATTACACATCATACGGCACACAACCTAAAGACAGCCACATCTTGTTAACACTGGTGCTTTCTGTACAACCTGGAGGTATAAAATTAGTTTCTTAATTTTGGCCAAAATGAATCTAATGTTTTTATGCCATTGCCTAAATTTTCTGCTGTTTTGACTTATTCAGTAGTAGTGAATGTTATAGATATTAACAAATGTGTCTTCTGCCTAACAAACTTTGTGTTCTGCTTACTTTATCTTGTCACGATCATTTTGTCTTTGAACAGTGGGACTCTGCTTTTGTAATATCGTGCAATGGTAGCCGTTGGTAGTGGATCAATGCTAGAGTTTGTAGGATGAGGCTGAAGGAAAGAGCAATACCCTTCATTTGAAGAAATACCTTGCAATTTGTAGAAATTCTCACTGTATTTCAGAATGTTAGAAGTTGTCATTCATTTAAAGATGAATACATTTGGAATATTATACACTTGAACCAAATCTCGACACTGTACTTTAGGGAAAAAAAATCCTATTTTGTTAAACATAGAGGGGATTAAAACTTTGCTGATAGATGTCTAGTTAATTCACTACCCCGTCCCCTTTTTAACTTTCAGATGGGGCAGTGTACAGCTTCGGCACCCTTCCCTGGAGAAGTGCACCAGCAGAGACCTGTCCGAGCAGCCCCATTCTAGAACATGCCCTGGTTGGGCAATGTGTCGTTACTGTGGCAGCGGGGAGTTTCCACAGTGGAGCGGTGACAGAAAGCGGTGTCGTGTACATGTGGGGAGAGAACTCCGCTGGCCAGTGCGCCGTCGCCAACCAGCAGTGGGTTCCGGAGCCCAGTGCCGTCAGCATTGCTGACTCCGAGACCAGTCCTTCGTTAGCAGTCAGGATTTTGCAGTTGGCATGTGGAGAGGAGCACACACTGGCATTGTCGATAAGCAGAGAGATTTGGGCATGGGGTACCGGTTGTCAGTTGGGTCTCATGACCACTACCTTCCCAGTGACAAAGCCACAAAAGGTGGAGCATCTTGCTGGGCGTGTAGTGCTCCAGGTCGCCTGTGGCGCGTTCCACAGCTTAGCACTCGTGCAGTGCCCCCCTTCTCAGAAGCCAGTCCCGGAACGATGCAACCAGTGCAGCCAGCTCTTGATGACTATGACTGACAAAGAAGACCACGTGATTATATCAGACAGCCATTGTTGCCCACTAGGTGTGACATTGGCGGAATCCCAGGCAGAAAACCAGGCTAGCACTGCCATCAGCCCCTCCACGGAAACCCGGGACAGCCAGGGAGAAGTGTTTGAGAACACGCATATACAGCATGATCTGGCTGTAGCTAACAAACTGAATGTTGGAAATGTTCAGACCACCAGTGGCGATGCTGTTCCCCCCCAACTAGACATCATAGGAACAACGGAAACATCTTCTGCTAGAAATATACCATTGGACCCTGATGCTCCAGCAGGGAATGAACACGTGCAGAAACTGTCAGATCCCTCAAAGAGAGAGAACTCGGAGAACGGTGAAAAGCCAGTGCCATCCCAGGTACCTGCTAAATTTTATAATTGAAAGCTGCTACTGGAATTCAACCATCTTGAGTTTTTCTTTAGAAACTTGAAAATGCCTATGGCTTGGTAGCACTTTTTAGTTTCTGAATTTGACTATAAATTATTTTCATAATGTAAGCCTAGATAAGGAAATACCTGGATTAACTCAAAATTACCCTTTATGTTCAAATTCTGGCCTTTAATGATGTTGAAAAATGTCATGCTGGGCTTGTTTTTTAAGTAGCAAAATTCCCTCCTTTTTTTTTTTGTTTTCGTGGTACGTCTCTCTCCACGCCCCTTGGCTAAGGTACTGCATTTTGGTGGGCTCCTGAATAATTCAACAAAGATTCTGTTATATTCACAAAGATTCTATTATAGAACTGAAAGAGTTAGACCACCCGGCTCTAGCAGAGCCAAACACTAAACTTGGAGAGTTGCAGTGGGGAATATTGGCTGTTTTATGATGAATGCTGCCATCCAGGAGAACAGGAAGCTAATACTCAAAAGCCCTAATTCCCCAGTGACATGTAGGGCAAAATTCCCCAGATTATATAGGGCAAAATGACAGGACACTGGGTTAGGGGGTTCGAGGTCGTGCTGGGAACTGATTGGTTTGAAGTGTGGTAAGGGCAGTAAATCATTTCTTCAGATCTTGAGTCCAGGTCTGAGGTCTCTTCTCTCTGGTTCCGTGGGAAAGCAGCCAGGGGGACATTCCACATTAGGGCTCAGGAGCCGAAGCGTAACTTAGGTCAAGATGTTATCTTTAGCCTGCCAGAGTGGGTTACGGCCTGCTGCCTCAGGGGCTGCTGATTATCCAGGGAAAGGCGAGGTCTCTAGAGAGAGAAAAATATGATTTCTAGAGCTAGGATTTAAAACTAAATTTAATCAAAGTAATAAAGACCCTTGGTTTCAATGCCTCTGACCAGCATTTAATTCGACAGATGCATTGAGTACCTACTACTTGTCCAGCACTGTGCTAGTTAACAGAAGTTACTTCCTTTAAGAAACTCAAAAGCCAATGTTAAAAATTTTGGTTTGGTTTTTAGTTCGGGATAAATTAAGGACTGTATATGTACTCTTTGACCTTAAGGTAGCATAGGAAGCAAATTGTTTATTGTGACCTATTTTGATAAGTCAAAAGCTTTCTGTGTGTGGTTAGTAGGTGCATTTAATGACTTTGCTGTTTAGTAAATAATGGTGCTTGACAGCTCACAATGAATTTCAACTGATTTTTCACTAAGGTATTGGAGAACTTGAGTTTGACTTTCTAACACAGCAATGAATAACATGAAGAACATTAGTTCCAAATGTTTAATTATTAACCTCCCACATTTATTCTCTATGGTAGCGAGAGCAAAGGTAATTCTTCAGTTTACCTAGCCTTTGGGCCATGGAAAATAACTCATTAATGAGACAGTAGAAGGACTTGAACTTAGAGTATAAGTTAGGGGCTAATGGGCCAGAATTGTAACATTTCCTGTCTGTATATGTTGTATCTAAATTTCCATTTATAAAACATTTTAAGAAAAGCTTTGTTAAAAACAATTTATTTTTTTCTGATATTTCTTAGTAGCATTCTGTGTAAATTTTCCTAAAACTGATCGCTAAATAAAGCTTTCATCTTTTCAACCTTCTATCCAGGGCTGTCACAGTATACTTCATATTAAAGATGATGTTCATATTTTTTTTCTCCTTTCCCCTTTTACTGTGTTTAATTTTATGAATGCGGTTGGGGCTTATTTTTAAGTACCGCAGAAAAATTCAACACTCAAAGGAAGTACTTTTGATGAGGAACAGTATATTTTGTGTACTGATTTCCATATAATGTTGTTAAATCCATGTTCAAGAGGGCATATCTTTAATTTGGAGATAAAGAGACCTTTGTTTTACACTCTTATATATGCAAATAGTGATAGATGTTAAACTTTTTTTACTGATTGCTATCGTATAAGAACTTATATTTTTATATACTTCTCTATGTGTATATATTTTAGCCTCTTGTAGAAGAAGCAGTTCCTAATCTTCACAGCCCACCAACCACAAGCACCTCAGCCCTAAACAGCCTCGTGGTCTCGTGTGCATCTGCTGTTGGTGTGAGAGTGGCTGCTACCTATGAAGCCGGGGCCTTGTCTCTTAAGAAAGTTATGAACTTTTATAGTACAGCCCCATGTGAGCCTGGAGCTCAGGCAGGCAGCAGTTCCATAGGCCCAGAAGGTCTGAAGGACAGCAGAGAAGAGCAGGTTAAACAGGAATCCATGCAAGGAAAGAAGAGTTCAAGTCTCGTGGATATCAGAGAAGAAGAATCAGAGGGAGGCAGCCGCAGGCTCTCCCTCCCTGGATTGTTGTCACAAGGTAAGGACATTGCCAGGTTTCGTGAATTGACTTTTGCTGAATCCAAGATTCTCCTGACATCACAGGCTATATTATAATCAATTGGCTTTCCTAATTGTTAAGGCTGACATATTTAAATGTCAAACTTTATTTAATTTTGGTCACCATAGGTGGTTTTAAAAGAAAGTTACATGTCTGTCTGCTCTAGAAATAACTTTAGAAGGTAACTTTTTCATGATGTTTACTACTGCTTGTGAGCTTTTCTATGAATCTCATTCTGTTCTGGAATGCAGCGATGGCCTTATTTCCAAGTTGGGGCCTATACGACCGAAAGATGGAGTTGCCATGTGACCGTTGGACACATGCGGAGTTATTGTACTTGACCTGAAAGTAGAGATAATTTTAAGCTTCAAAAAGAGAAAACTTCATTTTCCAAAACCACTAGCAATAAATCTTTAGAATGTTAAGAATATGACACAGCTGGCCCTTCTACATTTCTCCATCAGTGTAGGCATCTCGGTCATCTAGACTTCTGCTTCTCAAAGTATGTCCTGCAGCCCAGCAGTCTCAGCAGCATCTGGGGATCTGCTAGAAACCCAGGGTCTCAGGCTCCACTCCAAACCTGATGCATGAGATATGCATTCTGACAAGATCCTGGGTGACTGTGAGCGCTCTAAAGTTTGGGAATTATTGGATTTGACCAGGAGTTGGCAAACTTTTTCTGTAAGAGCTAAAGAGAAATTTTTTATGATTTGTTGGCCATATAGTCTCTGTTACAACTACTTAACTTTGCTGTCGTTGCTTGAAAGCAGCCAGATAAGTGAATGGTCAAAGCTGTATTCCAGTAAGACTTTACAGAAACAAGCGGTGGGCTGTATTTGACCACTGGCTGTCATTTACCAACCCCTGCTTTATACCATTTTGTGCAAAGCTCTAAAGTTAGGAATCCTAGAATAAATTTGCCTTTTCTGCCCTTCCGCTGTTCCCTACACTTGCTCTACTTGTTCATTACACTTTCTTGGGCCATTGAGCACTTCTGTTGTCTTGCCTCCTAATGCTCACTGCCCTGAATTTTCATCTGTGCAAGTAAAACCCTCAGTCTTGGCTAATTTTAGTGTGTGTGTAAAGAAAACCCATGAATAAGTCGTATTAAAACTGAAGGAGAATTTTGTGCCAAATTTTTCTTCTTATTAAATGTCCTTTGCATTTTATAGTTGAGATCTCTTTAAATCACAGATGTGGAATATTGATTTTTGTTATACAGAAGAGGGTTCTATGGGCAAATGTTTGGAAGGGGGCCAGGGTTAGACTGATCTAAGCAGGGCTTTTAATCATAGGACTTGTCAGCCCCTTTTCATGCTAATGTATGCGTGACAGGGCCGCAGTAGGAGGATAGAATGCAGTAAGTAGGCAGCATTTGCCAAACTCATTTGACCATTAAATCCCCATTTTTGCAGAGCCTAGTGAATATGCTTCACAAAACCATGTTAGTGTATTTCTTTGAAAATCAGCAGTTTATCAAAATGATATCTCGCCCTTCCCGATCCCCCATTTACACCCTCACCCCCTCTCTGGTTTGTTTTCAGTGTCCCCCAGGCTGCTAAGAAAGGCTGCACGGGTGAAAACACGGACAGTGGTTCTGACCCCGACATACAGCGGAGAAGCAGATGCGCTCCTGCCTTCCCTGAGAACAGAGGTGTGGACCTGGGGCAAAGGGAAGGAAGGGCAGCTGGGGCATGGCGACGTCCTGCCCAGGTGAGTGCTGCCAGGGCTTGCTGTTAGGGATGGACTCCTGCCGAGGCTTCTCAGTCTTTATTTCCCCATAAAGGCAGTCTGGTCTCCTCTAACTCGAAATCATCATGCACCATTAACTCTGATTTAAAAAACAACTGTGGTCTTAGTCTTGAATTTGTTCCTAACAATAAAGGACTTAAGTATCCATGGCATACCTCTTCATCCCGTCTTTGATGTATAGGGTGGGGCACAGCAGGTTAACAGTTATTCGTATGGAAAAATAATACAGTAATTAATAAATACTAATACAAGAATAAACTCTGTCTCACATACTCACAACTATAAACCTACTTTTGCCCCACCCTGTACATTCATCTTGAAACACAGAAAGGCACGTTTGGGATAAAGTTGTATTTCATAGGAACCCTTGCATGCTTCAAATTTTTAACTTACAATAAAAAAAAAACACCCAACATTCTTTTTAACCTGAAAGATGTTTCTCAACTGCCAGAACAACTATAGCTGCAATATTAAGCCATGTCTATCTACGTACCTCAAGGAAAAACTTGTTTTGTTTAAGAGGAACTCTTATGATATTAACAAGTTAGACATTTGTGAAGGTGTGTGACTGGAATGATTATCTAAAACAGTTAATGTTAATGTCTACTCTTAGCAGAATATAGACAACTATAACATTAAAAAAAAAAAAGACTTAACTCCCCTCTCTGGTTGCATTTCATTGTGTCCTAAGTCTCTCTCTACTGTATGAATCATTTAATAGTTCGATTATTCTTAATAAGTTCTGAATTATGGTGATTAATTAGTGATTGATAGACAAAGATTAAGTTGAAACCATCCAAAATTCTATTTAGGAATAGGTTGAACATATATCCATCATTTTAATTTCCGTGTTTTCTTTTGAAATATTTATTATTACCTAAAAGCACTTACTCTATAATTTGAGAAAAGTCATGATTCATGCTGAGAATACATTTTTTTTGAGTTTGTGTGTGTATGTTTTTCTTTAAGGCTTCAACCATTGTGTGTAAAATGTCTGGATGGTAAAGAAATAATTCACCTGGAGGCAGGTGGCTACCATTCCCTTGCACTTAGTGCGAAATCCCAGGTAGGTGGCAAACTAAAACAAGCTGATCTTAATTTCATGGAAGACCAACATGACAAGATTGGACCATTATTTCTTGAGTATCTGCTATGTGTCAAGCAGCAATCCCATATCTCACTTGATCTTTCCAGTGTTTTACATTGCATTGCATTATTTTCATTTTACAGATGGGGAAGGGGGGCTTCGAGAAATTACATAACTTGTCTAAAGTCACACATGTGATAGTAGAGTTTGGATTAAGGTCTACCTGTCAAAGAATCTTTCTATAATGTGCTCTCATGTAAAAACAGAACTTGAAATTTTCCAGGGTATTGGTGAATTTCCATACGTAAGACGCGAAGAAAACAAAGGCGTTTTTCTCTGTTAAAATTGTGGGACCTGAAATTGACCTCCAGAAGCACTTAAAGCCAGGGCCATATACATAACCCTCCTAATAAAAGTAGTTGTTTTAAGTTATTCTTAAATATATACATATACAGTAGGTCCTCGGGTTACGTCGGAGATCTGTTCCTACAGCACGATGTAAGGCAATTTTCGCTATAATAGGTCCTCGGGTTACGTCGGAGATCTGTTCCTACGGCACGATGTAAGGCAATTTTCGCTGTAAGTCGGGACCCACCTACATAAGCACCTACATCACTCACGTGGAGCACATACACAGCAGTAATGAAGTGAAACAGTAAAAAAACTTTAAAAGAAAGATAACAATTCTGACCTTTACTTGTGGTAAATAAATAATAAAAAACATAAAGCACATATGTACATATGTCGAAATGACGGAACTTTTTTTTTATATAAATACTGTAAATGGGAGATGGTGACCCTAACCATGAAATGATGTACGTTGAGTCCAATGTAACCTGAGGACTGCCTGTAATGATTTTTCATGAAAAATTAATGAAGGCTTCTAAATTCATCAAATACTTTATTTTAAATTTCACATAGCAGGCTAGCCAAAAAAACTAACATAGCCCATATAAATAACTATAAATATTAGGAAAGAAAAGGATAATTTACTATTAACATGATGAATCATCTAAAAGGCTTAAAAATAAGAGATTAGGAATACGGTCAATTACAAAATAAACATAATTGTTAGCCTTCTTATATACATAAAGTAAAGCAGAAAATATACCACAGAAAAAAAGAAGCTATTCAGAGTTAAAACAAAATATTAAGGCAATAGGAATAGTCTTAATAGGAAATGTGTAGAGCCTGTATGAAACAAACTCAAGAACTCTTCTAATCCTATATAATAAAAGGCTAATATGCAAATTGACCAAATGGTGGAACAATCGGTCGCTGATGCTCACTGACCACCAGGGGGCAGACTGGTGAGCCCAGTAGCGGTGGCGGGAGCTTCTCCCGCCTCTGCAGCAGCGCTAAGGATGTCCGACTGCCAGGGAGCGGGCCTAAGCTGTCAGTTGGACATCTCCCAAGGGCTCCGGACTGTGAGAGGGCACAAGGTGGGCTGAGGGAAAAGCCCCTCTCCGCACCCCCTGCGTGCATGAATTTCGTGCACCAGGCTTCTAGTAGGCCATAAAAGAAAATAGTAGTAAAGGTTTCATTTTTAGATGAGAAGAGTCAATGTTGCACAAATGCCATTTCTCCCTAGATCATTAAATAAGGACAGTGTAAATTCAATACAGTCTCCCAAATATTCCAATATAATATTTACAACTTGATAAAATGATCCCAAAAGTATTCTAGGAGAGTAAGCATAGGCGGTGAGCCACATAAATTCTGAAAATGAACAGAAAGGAAGGATAAGAATTAGCCACATAAAATATTGTTAAACTACGCTGTCTGCCCATTATCTCTGGTCCTTTTAAAATGAATTTCCTTAATATTTGTTATTTTAAAGATTAGAAAGACTAGTATAAGTAATTTGTGGAAAGACTAGTATAAGTAATTTATGTGTAACTATTGGTATGTATATATATATATAATATATGTGTTAAAGACTCAGAATTGACATGCAAAGTTAGATTCACAACTCTTACCTACTTTCCTGTGGTTTTCTAATAGGTTTACTCATGGGGTAGCAATACCTTTGGCCAACTTGGGCATTCCGATTTTCCAACAACTGTTCCTCGTCTTGCAAAGGTACTTTTGTGAACTTGATAACTTCTATAGCAACTTATTCCCGAATTCTAAGTTATAAAAAACAATCCAGTTCTAAACTTAAAACTAACAAAGGATTCCTTCTTTCCCCTGTTTGTTCTGCATTTGGTTGAGTACATTGCTGGGAAAATTTGCCCTTTGAGATATGACTGACTACACCACACTTGATAAGTAACCTAATATTTCAGTTCCTGTGGAGCTGAAGTTCTGTCTCATTCCTTCACTTTGGACTGACAATATCTTGCTGTCATTGCAGGTAAAGAGTGACAATGGAGTCTGGAGTGTAGCCGCAGGCCAGGATTATTCCCTGTTTTTAGTGGATACAGAAGACTTCCAGCCTGGGTTGTATTACAGTGGCCGGCAGGACCTTACAGAAGGTGACAACCTTCCAGAGAATCCCAGTGGTACTAAGGCTCCAGTACTTCTCTCCTGTAGTAAGGTGAACAGGACTTGGATCCTAAGGCCCACATTCTGTAACACACGAGAAATGCTTTGTCTTTGTCATTTGTGCATATGCCTGTTACTAAGTATCTTTGACTACTGTGTTACACTACTGTGCAAGCCCTTCCCATCCTCTCTTTCACTCCTTATCTCCTTCTCTGACTTATTTCCACAGCGCATATCACCGTCTAATACACTATTTAACTTATTTATGTGTCTATTGTCTGTCCTCCTTATCTGTAAGATTCATAAGAGTGGGGATTTTAGGATTTCTTTATGTATTGCTGAATCCTCATAGTAAATACTTTTTGTTGAATTAACACCTTCATGTAGAAATATTAAAAAGTACACTTTGCAGCGAAGTTTCTTGACTGCATTTGTGGATCTCTTAGAGGTGAATTAGAGATGAATTTTTAACTAAGTGGGCAGTAAAAATCCCAGAAGCCTGACAGGCCACCACAGTGCCCTGTTTCTCTTAGCTGTTCACTTTATGTACTACTGTTTATCCCTTTTTCATTTGTTGATCTGAATTTCTTTGCTTTCCTACTTTCTAATTCTTTTTCATAAACTTAAATCATTGGCCTGTTTCTGATGTGTTCCTCCCTCACCCCCACTAAGGTAACTCACATCCTTTAGGTTATATGCCTCAAGGAAATTAACCCTCAAAGCTAGTTCATTCTGGATTTCTTATTCTTATTGAATAATTTATCTTATGGACTGTTTTTTATCCTTGGTGTTCTTCTGGCTATATATATGAGCTGTTAATGTACCCGGACAAGATCTTTCTTGCTGAAGGCAACACTGGCTGAGATTTGGCTCTTAACCTATATATAGCCTGTTACTCCAGACACACTAATTGACTGTTTGTGGTTGTTGGCCCTGCTTCCACATTCCCCACCCAGGATGCCACAGTCCAGATAAGGATGAAATGTCCTGATGAAAAGGATGAGGCTCTAATATGTTTCTTTAGTTACAATGGGATTTTAATAGTCCGTTGGGTCTGCAGCTTGGTTACCTAGTTTAATAGGCATATGTGAATAAAGGCATTGAATGTTTTTATTCAGTGGTGTCATGAATAAATGAAAGAAGTACATTTTTAAATAAAATCCCTTTATGTTGTAAAGTACTTTTAAAAGGCAAGATAACTCCCAGACCTTTGTTATTTTGGTCTATAACACAGAATCCTCTCTGCTCTCATTTATCCTATTTTATGCAAAAAGGAGTCCTATCTACATCATTTGGATCTTTGTATATTCAGGGTGTGTGTCTGTGGTACTAAACACATATAATATGAAATAAAAGGGTTTTTGGCAATAAAGTATAGTGTATGTAGTTAGTTATAGGTACAGATATACATATATAACTATGGTGTACTGGTAAACCATCTCTAAAATTAACATCAAAACAAAACCAAAAAGCCCTGCTCCTGTAGTCTTTGCCATTTTTGTTTATAATTTTATTATTGCCTATTTCAAGCTACCAGTGGTTTCATTATCAACTTTCAAAATTCCTGAATATTTGCCAGTTGGCTTCTCCCCAGCTGATATAAGCCAGCTGCAGTGTCCAAATTGCTGTTAGTAAATTATATCTTATCTTTAATCTTTTCTTGTCCCGTGTTTTAGCTTGGATATATAAGCAGAGTGGCAGCCGGAAGAGACAGCTATCTAGCCTTGGTGGACAAGAACATTATGGGGTATATTGCCAGTCTCCATGAGTTGGCTGCTACGGAAAGACGGTTTTATTCAAAACTAAGTGACATCAAATCTCAGATTCTCAGGCCTCTTCTCAGTTTAGGTAAGTAGAACACTCTTGTTTTACCTGTTCTTCCTATATTTGCGTTATGGTTTACTCCTTGCTTTCCATTCTCTTCTTTTTGTACACGGGCAGTCAACACCTTGCAAACCATTCCCACGTTTTCAGTGGCCCAGCTGCCGCTGCCCTGTCCTACCACTCCCGGAGCTCCTGCTGTGGAAGTAGAAAATGGAGCTTTCGGAATATTCATGGCAGAGAAGCAGAAATAGCTTTGGGAAAGTTGATCCTAGGAGCTAGACTTCCAAACAATACTCTAGCCCCACCAGCCCTAAGATATATTATACACTTATTTTGTTATGGTTCCTAGAATTATGTCAAGTAGAGATTCATTTGAAATTGTTGATAACTGTAAGAGTGCTAGGGTCTTATCCCACATTAGCATGAATTAATTAAATCTGATTTTTAAAAAAATATATATTTTTTATTGATTTCAGAGAGGAGGGGAGAGAGAGAGAGAAACATCAGTGATGAGAAAGAATCATTGAAAGGTTGCCTCCTGCATGCTCCACACTGGGGATGGAGCCCGCAACCTGGGCATGTGCCCTGACCGGGAATCGAACGGTGGCCTCCTGGTTCATAAGTCAATGTTCAACCTCTGAGCCATGCCAGGCCTTATTTCAAAGTTTTTCTAGGTTTGGCCCTGCACTCAGAAAATGGAGAGGAAGTTTTCTTTCTCTGTCTTTCTCCTGTACTCCGTGGGCCCCTCTGCGGACTCAGAATTCAGGCCAATATTCTAGTACTAAAGTCTACCTGGTTAGTGCATCAGCTTTTCCACAGTGAGGTGACATTGGCTTGTATAGATCATTGCTCATTGTTTTTAGTGGGAAAACATCTACTTTTCAAACAACTAACTTAGTGTTTCCTCTGTATGTTGGAGACTCTGCATTTTAAAAAAAAAAAAGGTATTTTGCTTTTTTGAATGTAGTAGAGTCCCCTACTCTATAAATTCCCCCTCAGTGGGTGGGCCCAGTACCCTAGGACTGTGGCAAGGGGAGGAAGCAGTCCAAGCCGCAGGCTTTCAGGGTTGCTCTGACAGGAAAGAAAAAGCTGCCAAGTGAGGCCAGTTTCCGTGTTGGTCTCACCTGGTCTGCTCGTCAACCTCACGGTCGGTGAGCAGTCCTAAGCTAGGAGCTCCGGATTGGGAGGAGCACATAGGCTCCTGATGCCCTCTGTAAAGTTTAGAGCAGCCCAGGTGGTCTAGGGTTTGGATTGCCCTCTCTGTACTGAAGGGTTGGGCTTGTCCAAAGAATAAGCTGAAAAAAGTTGAAAATGTTAACCAGGCTGTAACTATAGAAGTGAGTTTAATTCCTGGCTGTCCCTCACCAGTTGTGTGAAATTAGGTAATCCCCTTCTCTTGGCTTCAGATTACTTATCTTCAAAATGAGAGGAGAGTTGGGTTAGCTCAGTGGTTCTCACATTTGGTGAGCCTTCAGAATTACCTGCAAAAACGTTTCTTTTTAACATACCCATCCTGGGATCCTAACCCTGGCCTCCTGAGTCAGAATCTGTGGGGCCTCTGTGAGGGTTTCTTGAGCAAGTTCCTCAGTGACTGGATTCTGTGGCCTCTGAAGTTGCTTTCTTTAACTCTGTGATTATTGGGGTTCCACAGTTGAGAATACTTTAGGAAAAGGGAAATTCATAATCCTAATTGTAAGGGGTTACTCAGGAAATGAATCTTTAGGTTATCTTGTCATCATTTTGTTACAGAAAATTTGGGCACCGCAAGTACTGTCCAGCTGTTGCAGGAAGTGGCAAGCCGGTTCAGTAAGCTGTGTTACCTAATTGGGCAGCATGGAGCCTCACTGAGCAGCTTCCTTCAAGGGGTCAAGGAAGCCAGCAGCCTGGTCATTCTGAAGCACGCCAGCCTCTTCTTGGATAGTTACACAGAGCAAGTATCCAGTCCCGTGTCATGTTCAACCTCTGCAGGGTTTTTCTGCTAAGAACAGCTCCTTAATCAGAGGAGATTAGATTAGGGAGAGTGATATAAGGTAATAGAAATTGCAAAGTGGTATTTTAATCTTAAGACAACTACAGTTCTGCATTGCTAAAATTTTACTTTTTTTCTAAGGGGAAAAAAAGCTCTAAAAACAATTCTCATATTTTCTTCTATATCCTAGCATAAAGTGTACTGTAATTAATATGAATATATAAACATTCCCTTTAGAGAACAAACTTGTTTACTTAAGTAAATTATACTAAACTTTGAGGAAATAAGTAACTAAACAAATTATTTCAAGACCGATTACTGATTGCAAATGTGGAGCTGTTCCAAGGGCTGCTTTCCACTGGTGTAAATGGAGGGTTTAAAGACCAAGCTCTCTTTAAAACAAAGATGTTCTTTAAATAAAACCAAGGGTAGTTATCTAAGACTCTTTGCATGTTTTTCAAGTAAACTATCCCAAGTGTATTTGAAAATTTAAATACTTCTCACTTTTCTTAATTTATAGTTTGGCATTGTGATGTGAGACATAATTTAAGTGTTATTTTAATGTCTGTTAGCGTTTACTGTTCATCTGAAGTGTAGGCTTTCTCCTTTGACTGAATAGCCACTCAGTGCCAGGCTCTGTGCGCAGCTCCGAGCCACGGCAGCACAGTGCAGAGCCAGGGAAAGCACGGCGCAGGGGTTCAAGTGCTGTTGGTGTCTGTTTGGGTTATTTACACTACAAATAATGTTTGTGTGTTACTGACAACTATACAAGGAAAGATAGTCAAAAAGATATTTGAAGTCGTCCATAATCCTCCCACCCAGAAATAAGCATTGTTAATAATCTTAGTGTATTTCCTTTTGGACTTAGCATATACGAGCAAGTGGATGTATGTGAGTTTAATTCTAAGCAAAGTATAATATATCTGAAGCTATTGTCTGAGAGGAAAAGACCCTGGTTGGATTCTTTTAACTTCATCATCTTTTAGACACGAAAATAACATAATTTGAAACCAATTTACTTTTTTGAGCTAAATTTTGTTTGTGTGAAGGTTTCAGTTTTTAGTAGTATACTTTTTCTTTTTTGACTTATATTCAGTGCAATCTATTTCAGTTCTTTTTCTTCTCTGATACTTCAGAATTTATGCTTGAAATGCTTTTTTTATTTTGATACATTGGGCTATTTTTTAACATAATTTATTCAGATAGATGAAGCAAGTAAATTTTTTATTTACTTTTAAATATGTTTTTTATTGATTTCAGAGAGAGGAAGGAATAGGGAGAGAGATAGAAACATCACTCGGCTACCTCCTGCACGCCCCCCTGGGGGGGTCAAGCGCTCAACCCGAGCACATGCCCTGACTGGGAATCGAACCATGACCTCCTGGTACATGGGATGATGCTCAACCAACTGAGCCATACTGGCTGGGCTATTTCTGAATTTTATAAATTATTTTTAATTGTGGTAAAATATATGTAACATAAACTTTACCATTGTAACCATTTTTTAATATGCTCTTATTGATTTTTTTTTTTTAGAGAGAGAGAAAAGGAGAGGGAGAGAGAAACATCAATTGCCTGCCTCCTGCGCGCTCCCTACCAGGGATCGAGCCTGCAACCAGGGCATATGCCCTAACCAGGAATCAAATTGGTGACCTCTTGGTGCATGGGACCATGTTCAATCATATTTTCTCAGATTTGTTAAGTTACTAACATTTATCTACCAGATAAATTCATTTATCTTACCAGATAAACACCTATAGCTTTAGGTGTTTTTTAAAATTTCTTACTATGTTAGCATCTTATACTAAGATGGCTTTTCCCTCCCCCCTGATTTTGTGATTATCACATAACCTGCCCTTCTCTTCAGTCCTTTATAGTTCATGAATGTTGACATCATAAAAATGCTGAAACTCGTTGGAGAGATGCCAAGAAGTACCTGTTCCGCATGCTTGTTTGAAAACTCTGAAGAAGTAATATGCACTTGAACACTAATGTACATGTGTTTTCTTTTTTGCTCAAGGTATTGTACAGCTATTACACATTTCCTGGTTATGGGAGGATTCCAGCTGCTCGCTAAGCCTGCCATGTAAGCAGATACCTTCCAGTTATCATTCATATCAAGTCAATATTTGAAATTATTTTAAAGTATTCATTTTAAAAGAGCAGTTTGAGAACCTCTAGACTTTAGAGTCTAGAGCAGGGGTGGGCAAACTTTTTGACTCGAGGGCCACAATAGGTTCTTAAACTGGACCGGAGGGCCGGAACAAAAGCATGGATGGAGTGTTTGTGTGAACTAATATAAATTCAAAGTAAACATCATTACATAAAAGGGTACGGTCTTTTTTTTTTTTTTTTAGTTTTATTCATTTCAAAACCCGGCCCGCGGGCTGTAGTTTGCCCACGGCTGGTCTAGAGCATAACTAGCGAGCCCACGTGGCAGTGTGGGTCTTGGATGATGAGGCTCAGGCTCTCACCACTTAGCTGGTTTATCACTTAGCTGCTTACCTCAGGCTAGTCTGGTGGGTTCATCATTATATAGAGTTTATAATCATCGTTATTATCATTGTAAAATATACATAACATAATATTTATCATTTTACCCTTCCTAATTGTACCCTTCTCTGGCCCATGTTTTATAAATCATCACCGTTACCTATAAACAAGACTTATTTTAAATTATCCCCAACAAAAACTTTGTACCCATTAAACAATAAGTTACCTTTTCTCCCTCCCCACAGCCCCTGGTAACTTATATTCTATTTTCTGTCTATGAATTGCCTATTCTATAAGAAATCATACAATATTTGTCCTTCTGTGTATGGCTTATTTCCTGAAGCATAATGTTTTTAGAGTTCATCCATGTTGCATATACCAAAATTTTATTCCATTGTATGGTTGAATAATATTCCATTGTATATATACATTTTGTTTATCCATTCATCTGTTGATAGTCATTTGGGTTGTTTCTACCTTTAATATATTTATTTTTTTAGTAACTAGTACAAACCTGGCCATGTAAGGGAAGAGCAGTATTACCACTATTAGATCAACAACGCCCAAGAGAAGAGAAGCTAAGCAGTTTCTGGTTCAGATTTCCTGAGAGCATACCAGGGCCCCTTTGGGGAAAGTCTATAAGCAAGGAAATAAATCCTGAAAACTAATGGGGTTCACAAGAGTTGGGACATTTCTGTCTAGTACTGGGCATTCAGGAGAAACATGGTCAGAGAGAGTATGTGTTCGCCATGTAATTTGGCCTTCTCTCGGGAGCAGGTCAAAGCAGAACACTTGTACAAGCTTAAGCGAGTGTCCTCAGACATCTCAGCAGCACAACATGGAGGCAGAAGCAGAAACAGTCACACAGCCAAGTACAAATAAAACTCTGGGCCAGTTCCCCAGGGCACTCTCTCTTAATTGCGTTATAAAGAATCCAGTTTGTGCCATTGAACTTTGGGGTTCCTGGAAGTTATTACACATTTTTCCATCTTTCCACAATAACATTTCATAGTTTCTGACTTAACATTTCTTTATTTCATAGTTCTCTAAGGGATCATAAAAGGATTCATTCTTGCCTTATAGTCTTGTGTGACATTGTCTTATTTGAGGCCTTGTAGCTTAGAATTGTAGTATAATGCCCGTATAGTAGTCAGGCCTGGCACATAATAATTGCTCATTAAGTGGCAGATAATTATTATTCTGGCACATGAATTCTTGCTTTTTTATAAAAGCATTCAGTCTAGTGAGCATAGTCTCAGTGGGCACTGACCAGCATTAAAGTTTGCAGTAAATTTTTAATAATGAACTTATATATAAAATTGAGTATGAAAATTAAATGTTGGCTGAAGTTTGAAATGCTTTAGAAGATCTCAGCATTGAAATATTTGCATATAATTTGCTTTATTATTTCCTGTTCGTTATAGTACTGGTACCTATAGCTTTATTACTCTCCTGTAATAAACTCTTATTAGGTGACCGACACTTAATGAAAAAAAAGGAAGAAATTAGAAGTATTTTAACATTTCATGCCAATTTTGGTGGAGCAAAGAGTTTTGTTTTTCCTCCAGTATTTCTGTTTAGCACAACTGATTAGAGCAGTTAGTCTTGCCACTTTTTGCTGTGACTTTTAGCTTAGAAATTAATAGGTAATGATGTTAGGTGGTCTTCAATTATCCCCTGAAACTGTGGGTTGCATGAGTTATTTCCTAGAACATGAAGCACAAGTCTGAGATTAATCATCTCTATTATGGAGTTACTATTGCTACCATTTGCTACTTTTCATACTTTAAAAAATTCCATCTTGTAGGCAGGGAAACTCTTTTAATTATATCTGGCTTATTTTATTGTATTTATCGTCTACTATTCCATAGCACCTAAAAATGTGCATTCTGAGAAAGGTAGAATCTAGTGAAATATTTTTATTCCTTATCATGCATGTTGTCATTACCAAAATGATTAACTTAACCTATTTTTGTTCCACCTCCAGTGATTTCCTAAATAAAAACCAGGAGCTGTTGCAAGATTTATCAGAAGTGACTGATGAAAACATCCAGTTGATAGAAATACTGAATACTTTGTTTTTCTTGCCAACTAGACGACTTCATAATTATGCAGAAGTTTTGCTAAAGCTTGCTACTTGTTTTGAAGTGGTAAGCCCCATATATACTCACTTTGGACACTTGGGAAGCCAAGGGTCATAGTTTGTTTGCTTGCTTGTTTGTTTGCTTGCTTGTTTGTTTGGATTATGCCACTCTACAACCTGTAATTCCACTAATTTAATATTTAGGCTATAGTTTAATTAACTTTATTTTTCTTCAGGGAAATGAAAGAAAAATGTATAGCTGTAGGTAAATCTAGTTTTCTTTGCGGTGGATTCAGTTTCCTCTCAGGATATTATTGAGATGAATTGTACTCATGTTATGAAACTGAGAGCCAAGTATGAGTGCTATTCATTCAATAGATGTTAAAGTTTACTGAGTGCATACCGAGTACAAGTTACACAGAGCTTTCAAACCCTGGCTCTCTGTATCAACAACACACACCTGTAAGGCAGTGGAGTTGCCACCTGGCCTGGACTCATGGTAGATTCATACCAGGTATTTAGGTCACCATGGCATATGCTATGAGAAATCACAGTGTTACAGGATTTCGTCATATGTTAGCTGGTCTACTTTCTGTATAAAATTAGTTAGGTGGAATCCTAGAAAATTAGCACTGCTCTAGGATGTGGGTGTATGATAAAACTGGTCCTAAGACATTCGCCTTTGATGTTGTACTGAAATGTACAGTTTCATTTCATTTCCTGTGTTAAGGGCTCTAGAGAAACCATGATGACTTCAGGGTTCCTTATAGTTTAATCTTGTTAAACTCTGTGTCTCCTGATCTGGACAGACTTCAGTCTCCATAGTGACCCAAGAACTGATGTAGGCTTTCTACACTTGATCCTACTGGGGTCCTGTAGGTGATTTCTTTAGTTTAACCCAAACTGGCTTAGTTTTAACAATGAAGATTTGAGCTACACAAATAACCCAATGAGATACAAATATTACCTCAATATATCCTCAATTAATTGAAAACCTTCCCTCCTAGAAAATTTGGAATTGTTAAAAGAGTAATATTGTTCTATTTCCAGTCTCAAGGGTCCACATTCTATGTAAAAAATACAGACTCCATAATCACATACCTTTTTTGTTTCTTCTACCCTGTTTCGTTCTATTTCCAGTCTCAAGGGTCCACATTCTATGTAATCACATACCTTTTTTGTTTCTTCTACCCTGTTTTAGAGGAGAATATCCACAATTATTTAAAATGACTATTAAAATACTCCTTCCTTTCCCAACAATATATTTTTATAAAGCAAGATTTTCTTCATATATTTCAACCGTAAAAGATTAAATGCAGTAGCAGCTATCATTTTTTAAGCCAGATGATAAAGAAATTTGAAAAAATGTAGAACAATGCCACTTTTCTCACTAAAAAAATTTTTTTTGTTTTGGAAAATTTGTTATTTTTTATTTAAAATATTGTATTGCCCAGCCAGCGTGGCTCAATTGTTGAGCATCGACCTACGAACCAGGAGGTCACAGTTCGATTCCCAGTCAGAGCACATGCCTGGGTTACAGGCTCGATCCCCAATGTGGGGTGTGCAGGAGGCAGCAGATCAAAGATTCTCATCATTGATGTTCCTATCTCTCTCTCCCTCTCCCTTCCTCTCTGGAATAAATAAAAAAGAAAAAAGAAAATGTTACTGGATTTGAAGTAAATTAAAGATAGTTTTATTTCTCAATTGTACCTTCTAATATGGTAAATATCAACAGATATAACCCACATACGCAAAATGGAGGGGACGTGAGAACAAGACATTGGAAATTCCCAGTCTATCCTGAGTTTTCTGCTGCTCTACTCACTAATAATTACCAGTGTTTGTTTCTTTCCCCCTGGAGTTATTTCTCTATTTCTTATGTACCTGTACGTTACAGAATTTTCTGGAACCATTCTGCTTTTTGCTCAGCTCCATTTAGTATACCAGCAGGATTTCCTCCCTAAATTTAATACTAAGTATCTGCACCACACGGAGGCTACAGATTCTGGACAATTGTTTTATATTGTTTTCCCTCTTTGATACATTGGCCTCTAGACATCTCCAGAATACCAGAAACTGCAGGATTCCAGTTCTTGTTATGAGTGTCTTGCTCTCCATCTCGGCAGGAAAAGGAAGGAAGCAGAATACACACTGGGCTTCTGGAAGACTTTCCCTGGGAAAATGACAGTAAGTAGACCATGCCAACTGCCATTACCTCAGCTAACAGCAGGCATATCCATAACAGCTGCCACCATTGTCTCCATTCCTCACTCACTGTGGTGATAATGCTTTAATGAACCCCTTTTCAAGGGTGGTCTAAGGACCACAGCCATGGATGTTCTAAACATCTCCTTTCCTCATTCCTAGGAATCCTCTCTGAACATGTGTCTCACCTTTTGTTTGTTTCAATCTTTTTCATCTCCTTTGGTTGCTAATTTTATGGGATATTTGGATTGCATTTAAATTTAGGTTTAACACCAAGCTAAGCTAGGACCAACAGGTTTCCCTAAATGTATTTTTGTATATTTTTTATTTTCCCTTTGCATATTAAAGTAATTTTGGTGATTTGACTTTGTATTTATTTTTAATTCCAGGATTCCTTAAGGAAGCCAGAGCGCCGACTGCTGTGTGAGAGCAGTAACCGAGCCTTATCTCTGCAGCATGCTGGGAGGTTCTCTGTGAACTGGTTCATTCTCTTTAATGATGCCCTGGTCCACGCCCAGGTAGGCTGGATTCCTCACCTTAAAAAACACTGAAAAATGGAGTACGCTACTTATTTAACTAGGGGCCCAGTGTATGAATTCATGCACCTTGAAAGGAACTGTGGACCATGAAGCTGAGGTAGGCACAGGGGGCGGGTCTCAGCCCATCTTCCGCGACCCCACCTGGCCCCCCAGTCTCCTGTCTGTTGGCAGCCCCGCTCCCACCATCGCCACTCCCACGCACTGATGGCGCCGAGTGATCAGGACTGGTGCCGGGCACCGGCAGTGTGAGCGGGCAAGCGCTGGCAGCAGATGTGGGTGCCGGGCGGGACCGCAGTGTGCAGAAGCAAAGAATTTTCAGTAACCACCAGAGTCTCGCCCCTATGACAGCGACCAGCACCCTGCCTTGGTCTGGCGCCCCCCCTCACTATCCCTCCAAGGCCAATGCCCGCATGTTCCGCACACACCCCCTGGTGGTCAGTGCATGTCATAGTGACTGGTTGTTCGGTTGTTCTGCCGTTCGGTCTATTTGCATATTAGCCTTTTATTATATAGAATTATACCATCAGTTTGTGTTAAAATCTGTTGTGATTTCGCTGAAACTTGAATGATAGAGAATACTTAGCTTACGTTTCTAGTATGAGCCAGATTTCAGGGAGCTTTTTTAGTTTACATCTTGAAAGTGAGTATCAGCCATGTGACAGGGTCCTTGCTATGGGGACTATTTGGCTGAGATAGTGGCACCATGTGGACTTAGCCATTTGAAACAGGTTATGCAGCACAGAACATGGGCTTTCTCAGATGTGTCTCCATGTTTTTGTTTCAGTTCTCCACACACCATGTTTTCCCTTTGGCCACCATCTGGGCAGAGCCCCTTTCTGAAGAAGCGGGTGGTGTGTAAGTGTGCCCCCTACCCCCACCTCTACCCTAATTCTCTCCTCTGTTACCCTGGTTGTTCCCTTAGCTGTGAAAAAAGGCTTAGGAGGCCTCTCCGTTCTGCATAATGAGGCTTCCCCTCCCAGCGTGGAGATAGTAAAGGAGCTGTTGTGACAGTCATGACAGATCATAAGTGATGGAGGGCTTCTCTGTTGCTCACATCCCCATCATTCAACACAGAGCAAAGTAACGGTGGCCCTTCTCCCACTCTGGGAGGAAAACCCGCCCATGGCTGCATTCACATTTAATTGACTTCTGCTCCTCTTGAAATAAACAAGTTGCTTTTCATGTGGGAGGACTGAAATCGTAATGACAGGTTCTCATACCTACTGGTATTTATCCTTATGAATGTTTTAGGAATGGCTTAAAGATAACTACACCTGAGGAGCAGTTCACTCTCATTTCATCAACACCCCAGGAAAAGGTGAGTCCACTATGCTATGTGCTTTCCATCTTTGACTTCGATATTCCTGTCTCTTATGATAGTAAAAACAAGATACAGGTTGTTCTTGTTTGGCTCATGATCTATAATTATGTGATAAATCTTCATTAAACTAAGACTACAGATTTTTTTTAATGTGATTTAATTTTAAACATATAGCAGTGAATTCCAAGAGCCAGTCAGTATTACTCAATAAGAAAAGCACTAGAAGGCATAAAAATTATTCACACCAAGGACAGCTAGCAGGACTTAACGCAATGCGTGATGAGTTACTGCCTTAAGCTTATTGACACTTTTTTTTTTTGCTCCTAGACTAAGTGGCTACGGGCTATAAGCCAAGCTGTGGATCAGGCTTTGAGGGGGGCGTCTGATCATCCACCTTATGGAGGTGGCGGCAGCATTCAGAGGCAGGAGCCGCCCATTTCACGCAGTGCTAAATACACTTTCTACAAGGATCCTCGCCTGAAGGAGGCAACCTATGATGGACGCTGGTTTTCAGGGAAGCCTCATGGAAGGTGAAAATGTTTAAGATTTACGCCTGGGGTGAGGATGATAGTCTAATTACTGAGAAAGGAATGATTATCTGAGACATTACTTGACATGTATTATTCTTTGCTTATGCATTTCAGAGGGGTTTTGAAGTGGCCAGATGGAAAGATGTATTCTGGCACGTTCAGGAATGGCTTGGAAGATGGGTAAGAAAATTGTGTAAAACATGAGAGTAAATTCAACTTCAGTCACAAGTTATGTTACTTTGTGTTCAGAGTCATTTTCAAAACAAGTAGTAGATTTTTGTTTTGTTTACCAGAAATACATACCATGTATTAAGCTCTCTAATGCAGACGTGTGAACACGAAGCTAGGAATCTAGGATGCAGCCTTGATTTACCTAGAGTGAATCAATGACCTGTTAAAATGGGACTGTGTTTTCTATCCATTTCTCGGTTGTGAAGACTGAGAACCTTGGGCAATGTTGACTGTGAGACTGTTGGAATAGTACTGCCCCCTGTATAAAAAGAACATACAGAAATTTTCCTTTCTGTTGTTTTAAATCATCTTAATTTCTGTGAGATGCTAAAGGGAAAATCTTCTAAGTTCTATATTATCCTATTGGTACTCAATGGCATTACTTTTTTATGAGCTTGTCATGCTTTCTAATCCTTAAATATATTTACATGATGAATTAATGGCAATGAATTATTTTGTATTATGTTAGAGAAGTAATTATTTTACTAAATATTATTATACTAGAGGCCTGGTGCACAAAATTTGTGTACTCAGGGCCGGGGGGGGGGGGGGGGGGGGCCCAT